GGATTTACTTGTTCAGACTGAAAAGTGATGTCATTGTATGTCCGAGAAAATTTTTGGTATCAATAAAAAATCAATTTGGTGTAACAGTGAAGATTTTGAGAAGTGATAATGACATCGATTTTTTCAACTCCGAATGTAAAGCTCTTTTCTAATCTTATGGGATGATTCATCGGAGTTCTTGTGTACATACTCCACAACAAAATGGAGTCGTTGAAAGGAAGCTTCGACACATATTGGAGGTAGGAAGAGAAATTCTACTATAGGGACATTTACCTCTTAAATTTTGGGGTGAATGTGCTCAAGCGACAGTGTATGTAATTAATAGACTTCCCTTATCAGTACTGTCTGGAAAATCTTCTTTTGAGATCCTGTATGGTAAAGCACCATCCTTGCAACATCTGAGGATAATTGGTTGCTTGTGCTTTGCAACAAATGTGACACGAAGTGACAAGTTTGCAGCTACATCAACTGGGGTTGTTTCGATGGGCTATTCAACAACTCAAAAAGGGTACAATATGCTAACTAACACCTTCTTTTTAGTTGGGATGTCAAATTCATGGAACATATATTTCTTTTCCAATTGTTAACAAAAGGAAAGCTGCAAGTCTTTCCTAATGGAGTGTTGTCCAACTATGACACTGTTATTGATAAACCAGGAGCAGAGTTGCCAGTTGATAGGGAGGTCACCAGCTGCAAAGGCACCTCTTTCACCGGGTTGATTGCAATGGTATAAGATATAAGCTTAAAGGAATATATACATGCAAGGTAAATGATAGAACCATGTACTAAGCAGACCGAAGGAAGGGATTTACTGTACAATCTCTGGCCGAGAATCTGTCTCTACCCTACTTTATCCCATCATAGGGGAGTCCTGCATGAAACAATAGTAGAGCCGAATTCTGAGATCACAATGCATAGGCCTATTGAGCCATTGAGGAAATCAACAAGAACAGGAAAGGAACCTGCCAGAATATAGGATTATATTTGTGATAGATCTTCAACAAAGCTCCATACTAAAGTTGCTTGTGAGTATCCAATACAAGCATATTCGTGCCATGATGGCGTTTCACCCAAGTATCAGAGTTTCTTAACCAAAATCACTAATATCAAGGAGCCTCAGAGTTATGAGGAGGCAGCAACAGATCCCAAATGGGTTGCAGTAATGGAACAAGAACTCACAGCTCTTAGAGGAAATAAGACTTGGTCCTTGGTAGACTTCCCAGATGGCAAACTACTAATTGGATGTAAATGGGTGTTCAAGGTAAAGTATAAAGCCGATGACGAGGTGGAGCAGTATAAAGCAAGGTTGGTTTCCAATGGGTACAGCCAACGAGAAAGAGTAGACTACCAGGAAATATTCTCGCCCGTGGTTAAAATGGTGACAGTGAGAGTAGTCCTGGCCTTAGCTTGCACATAATTGGGCCTTGCATCAAATGGACATTTATAATGTATTCCTCCAAGGGGACCTAACGGAGGAAGTTTATATGTCCTTATCTCAGGGATTTCCAGCCAGGGAGAGAAGCAAGTATACAGGCTGCATAAATCCCTGTATGGTCTAAAGCAAGCGACAAGACAATGGAATTTAAAACTTACTGAAGCACTTATCAACTCAGTCTTTGTGCAAAGTCATTTTGACTATTCCCTGTTCACAAAGAAAGCAGACACAAGGGTGGTGATTATCTTGGTATACGTAGATGACCTTATCATAACTGGGAATGATCAGAATCTAATATTAGTGGCAAAGACCATACTACAACGTAGCTTCAAGATTAAGGACTTAGGTGAATTTGAGTTCTTTCTTCGAATTGAAATAGCAAAGTCCAAGCAAGAAATATTGATGAATCAGAGAAAATTTGTATTAGAGTTGATTAATGAACTGGGATTAGCAGGGTCAAAACCAGTTAGCACACCAGTGGAGTGCAATCAGAGGTTTACATATGTGGAATTTGATGAGCATACAGATTGTAAAGGGGATGAGAAGCTGGAAGATGCAGGACCATACCAGAGATTGGTGGGAAAGTTGTTGTATCTTACAATGACAAGGCCAGATATATTTTATGCAGTACATGTCCTGAGCCAATTCGTGCATAGTCCAATCACATATAGAGGTAGCAATTAGAGTTGTAAAGTAGGTCAAGAATGCACCAAGTTTAGGGGTGTTAATGAGCTCAAGACAGTCAACAAAATTCACTGCCTTCTGTGATGCAGACTAGGCATCATGTCCAGTCTCTAGGAGATCTGTGACGGGATATATGATGAAGCTGGGGGATTCTTTGGTGTCGTGGAAATCAAAAAAATAATGTACAGTAACTAGGTGATCGGCTGAAGCTGAGTATAGAAGCATGGCAGCAGGAGTTTCACTAATTCTATGGCTGACAAGATTATACAAGGAGTTGGGTGCAGATGTTCAATTACCAATTGAGTTGAACTGTGATAGCAAAGTAGCAATTTAAATCGCGGCAAACCCCATATTTCACGAGCGGACAGAGCATATAAAGATAAATTTACATTTCATCAAGGAAAGAATTCAATAGGGGATTGTTAGGACAAGATATGTTATGTCAAAAGACCAAGAAGCAGATTTGTTCACTAATGCTTTAGGGAAGACACAACATGAGTATTTGATGAGCAAGCTAGGAGTGCTTAACTTGTTTGCACCACCTAGCTTAAGGGGCAGGGACAGATGCACGCTTATCGAGGGGTATCACGCGACACCGCTTCGCCAAAATTTTGTACTCAGTATATGTATTAATACTATGAGGAAAAGGATAAGTAGGGAAAGAATGACACCACTTGACATAAATTGTCTCTTGGTTCATTGGTTTTGTGCATGATTTTTGCTTCAAGAGGTCAAAGGTTCAAACCTCAACTAGCACATTTTTTTTTGCAAATATTTAAGAGAGCCTCTGTGATTAAAAATTGTGATGAAGTAGAATTGAAGTCACGACCATTTCTACTTCAGACTCAACAAAACCAATAGACTAAAACTATGTCTTGTCTAAAAATATAATGATTAAAGTTATTATTCTCGTTCTTCTATAAATTTCGACACCACTTACAAAAATTCATGCGTACGCCCCTGTTGAGGGGAAGTATTGAGAAAAAAGGGTGCACGTGACTGCCACATGAGAAAGTTAGTTGGTGCAGGTGCGATTCCAGTGTACTTTCTCCTTATTCGCACATGCGCCCTTATTCTCGCATCTGCGAGTCCGCAGAAGCGGCAATTCTCTTACTGGGAGCAGTTTTGCAATTCTACAACCATTTTTGCTCAATTCGTAAGCAATTATTAGATCAGTTAATTAGACAAAGATTTGGTAGGTAGGTTAGACGTATATTAAAGACAGTCGTATATATAGTTTGTAAATACTCGCCTTAGAAGAATGAATGGATATATTCTTATTTTTCTCTCATCCAGACCTTGAGAGCTCTTTCTAGAATCTTCTATGTTTCTCCTTCATTTCTGATCTTACAGAGCTTTACTTGGATTCCAATTAGACTATTATAACATTGAAGAATTACTTTTGCCAATAAGAGAACTATTATATAACACCGAAGAATTACTTTTGCCGATAAGAGAATACAAATGTTTTAAAGAAGAATTACTTTTGCCGATAAGAGAAACAATGAAATGTTTTAAAGAAGAATTACTTTTGCCGATAAGAGAAACAATGAAATGTTTTAAGATAAGAGAATACAACTAAATGTCTTAAAGAAGGTCTTAGAATAGCAGAGACGTGTAATTTGGTCATACTTTGCATCATTTAATGTACGGAAAAAGGTTCAGAATACTCCTAAACTATTGGAAAAGGTTTAAAAATACCCTTCATCCACCTATTGGGCTAAAAATACCCTTCCATCCACCTTTTTGATTCACTTACGCCCTTTGACCGTTAGGTCAATGCTGAATTAAAAATAATTACTTAAAAAAAATATTTTGCAAAATATTTTCGTTTTTTTAAACTAATGCACCAGTAGTCCACTAATCTAGTAAAGTCTTTTTTCTTTTTCAGTTTTTACAAAAAATATATTTTTTTCATTTTTTTCAGTTTTTTTAAAGCATTTTTTTTGTTGTAAAAACTGAAAAAAAGTTGTAAAAACAGAAAATAAATTGTTTTTTATAAAATATTTTCGTTTTTCAGAAAGTGAAAAAAATATTTTCAACAAAATATTTTCGTTTTTGAAAAATATTTTTTTCAGTTTCTTTAAAGCATTTATTTTTGTAAAAACTGGAAATTTTTTTTTGTAAAAACTGAAAAAGAAATTGTGAAAACTGCAAAAAAATATTTTCGTTTTTTAACAAAATATTTTTGTTTTTTAAAAACTGAAATTTTAAAAAAAAAACTGAAAAAACTGGAAAAAAAATATTTTGTTGAAAATATTTTTTTTCAGTTTTTAAGAAACAAAAATATTTTTGTTAAAAATAATTTTTTTTCCAGTTTTTACAAGTTTTTTTTTTCCAGATTTTACAAAAAAAAATTCTTTAATTTTTTTGTAAAAACTGAAAAAAAAAAAGAAGAAGAAGACTTTACTAAATTAGTCTACTGGTGCATTAGTTTAAAAAAATAAAAATATTTTGCAAAATATTTTTTTTAAGTAATTATTTTTAACTAAGCATTGACCTAACGGTCAAAGGGCATAAGTGAACTAAAAAGGTGGATAGAGGGGTATTTCTAGCCCAATAGGTGGATGAAGGGTATTTTTAAACCTTTTCCAATAGTTTAGGGGCATTTTGAACCTTTTTCCGTTTAATGTAAGTGCATAGTGAAATTTAAAGCACTAATGTTACTTTAGAAAAGGGATAGATCATGTTCGTACTGACTGAAAATTCAAATGTTATGCTAGAATGAATCAAGAATTGGGAAAGACTATAATGGAGAACAATTTATAGCTACACAATACCTCCATTTGACTGTCTAGTATAATTATATGGGATACCCCTAAGAGGGGGCGTAGAAGTAATGAACATAGGCTATTCAAGCGTGGCCTTTAAATAGCTTAAGAATCGGACAAGCAAAATATTCTCATATCACATGGTTTTCCAATAGCCAAACCACATTTGTTCAGGAAGTGCTAACATAGGTACATTAATATTCTTCATTCGACAAAACTGGAAATGAAATCACCTGTTTCTGTCTAGTGGTCTTGTCCAAGATGTTCCAGAAATACCATTTCTTATAGACAGCAGTTCAGCAACAACATCGGCAATGTTCATCCTGTCTCTTGCCAATTCTGCAGAGCAAGTAAGCCCTACTCCAAGCACTGAATTCACACACTCCTCAATTTTGTCACGCTTCATTTCGTTGCTTTCTAGAAGTACTGGATCCAATATCTCTAGCAATCTATTTGGAAATGCAGCTAAAACGAAATTATGAAGGTCAAGATCATCTGTAAACATGTCATCAGTAGGCCGCTTTCCTGTGAACATTTCCAGAAGAAGTATGCCAAAGCTAAAGATATCACCAGAGGAAGACACTTTACTGCCAATCCCATACTCTGCATGTTCACATAAATTGCCAACATGAAGTCACACAACAACCAAGAAAAGAAAAGAAAGGTTCTTCCTAGACTAAAAGACTCTATTATGATCATATGACATGACTCAATTTGCATAATAAGATAAGTATTACCAGGAGCAGTATAACCGATCGAGCCTCTTAGAGTAGAAGAGCTTGTCTGTGCACGGGAGAATTCGTCAGTATCTGCTGTAGGAAGGAATTTTGCTAACCCAAAGTCACTAACATGGCCAACCAATTCATCATCAAGAAGGACATTGCTTGGTTTGAGGTCACAATGCACTACTGATTCATGGGACTGGTTGTGAAGATACTCCAATGCACAAGAAACATCAATAGCTATGTTCATCCTTTGGAGAAAGGATAATTTCTTGGTTTCCCCATAAGACATGTCTTCATTTGGGCATGGGTGCAACCAGTCATCCAAACTACCATTCTCCATGTATTCATAAACCAGAGCTTTGAAGTCGTTTCCCTCATCATCAAATCCTGAACATGCGGTTAGTACTTTAACCAGATTCCGATGTCTGAAATTCTTCAAGACTTCACACTCTAACAAGAAGCTCCTGGAAGCTCCTCGTTGTAAAAGGTTAAAGACCTTTACTGCGAATGTCGCTCCATTGTTTTCCATGACTCCTTTATATACAGATGCAAAGCCACCTTTACCTAAGAAATTTGCTGAACAGAATCCATCTGTAGCCTGGTACAGGCTTCTGTAAGACACTTGTACGAGGGAGTGGTTCGTAGAGCTTGCCAAACGCGTCTTCTTTCTTTTGCAACTGTAAAATATTATGAAACAAAAGAGCAAGGCCAACCCAAGAACTCCACAAACTATTGAGATGGATAACTTAAAGGTGGATGTTGGGAAACTCTTATTTGACTCTTTTTGGATACATTTAGGAAGCTGCAGTTGTGGTGCACCCCCACATAGCTTCGAATTTCCAAGCACGGAAATTGCACTTGCATTTTTAAATATACCTTCTGTTGGCAATGAACCTTCAAAGCTGTTAAAAGAAAGATTCAAAAGCTGCAAGTCAAAATCACCCAAATATTGTGGAACTTGACCCGATAGATTGTTGTTTGAGAGATCTAATATCCGAAGACCTCGCAAAGAACTCAATGAGGGGATACTTCCCCTGAAGTAGTTACCTTCCAGCGAAAGTTCTTCCAATCTAACACAACTGCCAAGGGTGCCAGGAATTTCACCAGACAACCTGTTTCCCTTAAGAGTCAATACACCAAGATTCTTAAGATTTCCAATGGCCACAGGAAGAGAACCAATAAATTGATTATGAGACAAGTCTAAATACAATGTCAAGGAAGAAAGGCCAAAAATTTCCTGAGGTATCGAGCTATTGAGGTTATTTTCAGAGAGATTTAATGCCTGCAAATTTTGGCACTGACCCAAACTAATAGGGATACCACCATATAGTTTATTGTGATTAAGGTCAAGCTTGGTTAACAGACTTAGATTTCCAAGGGCTGATGGGATAGTCCCCCTGAATCTGTTATGTGATAAATCCAAAACTTGCAGCTTTTGAAATCTCCCAATATCAGATGGAATGGTACCAATGAATTGGTTATTTGACATTCTAATAGTTGTCAAATTGGTAAATCTTTCCAACCAGCTGGGAATAGGTCCAGATAGATGATTGTTGCTCAAAAGAAATCCTGTGAGCTTAGTTGAGAGATTTTTCATTGGTTCAGGAATCACCCCTGCAAAGTTATTATCATCCAAACCTAATTCTTCAAGATTAGTGGCATTTGTTAAGGACGAGATGAAGCTTAGGTCATCATATCCTCCGCTTCCCAGGAGGTTGCTGGAGATGCTAAAATGACTAAGCTTATACAATTTCTCCAAAGTAGGAACTTGACCTATAAGGCTGTTGGTATCAAGGAAAAGATACTCAAGTTTCGACGAATTTGATAATGAAATAGGGAGTGGTCCTGAAAAAGAATTTTCAGATATTGCTATGTAGTACAAATTAGGAAGAGTGGTTCCCAAGTATGGTGGAAGAGTCCCTTTGAATTTGTTCAGTGAGACAAATATAGTAGTCAAGGAAGAGAGGTTAAAAATTTCAGTAGGAAACTCACCAGACAAGCTGTTATCATTGAAGCCAATATATTCTAGCTTCATCAGGTTTCCTATCTCATTGGGTAAGTGTCCACTGAGATAGTTAGACGAAAAACCAAGAAACAGCAGAGATGATAAGTTCCCAAAAGAACGCGGAATGCTGCCTGTCAGACTGTTTCTTGGAGCTTGTATGAGTTGGAGTTTTGAGAAATAGCCAAATTCAGCAGGAATCCTCCCTATGAGGTTGTTCCAAGAAAGACGAATCTCGACAAGGTTGGAGCAAGCTGATAGATTTGAAGGGATTTCACCATCTAGTGAATTGTTCCTAAGCCATAACATTTTCAAATTTTGTAAACGGCTTAGCTCTGGAGGTATTCCACCAGTAAAGCTATTGTTGTCGAGAAGCAACTCATTCAGAAAACTCAAATTTCCTATATGGGGTGATATTGGACCCTTAAGTTTTTTATGCTGCAGCTTTAAAGATGTAACGTATCCACTGCTGCTGCAGATCACACCTTGCCACTTACAGAAGGGAACGGTTTCATTCCATGATCTCAAGACTTCAAAGGGATCATGTGTTATGGTCTCTTTGAATGCAAGCAGTGATAGTCTGTCTGTTTCATTGTCATGATTTGCAGCAATCACTACATCCAGAAAGCCAAAAATGAGGAAAAATGGGAAAATGTATTTGGCACAAAGACAGAAAACTGACTTCATCTTTGCAACGTCTTAGATAAATGGTGTAGGAATTTGTTATTAGGACCTTATTATAGTGTGACAAGAGCTGGAATACCAAATTGACATGCTGACTGACCATTGATATGTAGGAAAACAAAGTAAATTCGTACATATCTGGTAACAATTAATGTTAAAAAATTTGTCAGTATCTTGACCTGAGAACCACTGTAAGATGATTTAGTGTTTTGAAGAAATTATCCATCATAGTACTATTTTTAAAGTAGCTGCACTGACTGGGAACTCAGGTAATAAAGGTCACCCTAATTGTCACAGTCAGAGTTAATTAGTGTCAAATTTTTAGTCAAAATACAATACAAACTTTGCCACATGTCAATGAAAGTTTGACAAAATCTTGAAAGCCACTTTCCATCTTTTAAAATATAGATCCTTTACCTGCCGTTTCAATTTTTCAAATTGATCCTTCTTTTTAATTGTCCGCAGACATCATTTGATGTTTCAACATTTGTTTCATCAAGCACTGTTCTTAGGCATAATAGTTAATCAAAAAGAAAAAACCAAAAATCTTCACCTTAGTTCGGAACAGCACATAATTAAAACCAACAAATATCTTTTCAGATAACAACAAATATTATTATCTTTATAGTGGAAGAAAGAAAGAATACTTATATCGAAGTTCTCTTTAATTAAGCTGTGAAAATGAGCTCTTACTCATGAATACGGAGTTCTAGCCAGAAAACAGAGCAAATCATCCATCCTTCCCCTCCAAAAGGACAACTTTAGTAAATAAACAAACCTGATACTTGCATAGAACAAGTTGGTAATCACAATAGCAACTTTCTGTTTTCCTAGTATTTTTCCTTCCTTTCTTAGACGCCTGGAAATACATAGTCACATAGATGGATAGGAAAATTCTGTTAAAGGTACAGCTTCCAGGGACCAGGTTGACTTTTCTTTTAATTCCTCATCCCTCATGATTTTGCTCTCAATTATCTAGCTCTACAGACTCTAATACACGTTATACAGATCTTCCCAAGTAGTGAAGATATTGGAATATGTGAAAACATTGGATAGATACTGGAATATGTGAAAACACCAATGATTGAACTGTTCTTAGGAAAACCATCCCTTTAACACATGATAAAACTTGTATATTTCAGAGAACTACAATTTTATAATCTTTATACTCCCTCTATGTGACAGTGTTTGAAATATGTGGTCTTAAACAAGACATTTGTGTGACTATAAATCATCTTATTAAGGGTAAAATAAAAGTTTAAAGTTAAACTGTTTCTAAATATAGAAATGTGTCATTGTTTTAGAGACATACTAAAAAGAAAAGTGTGCCACACTAAAATGGTCAACTCTCTTGTGCGATAGCGGCATAGCGCTGCCTTGTAAAAGTTCCTGAAGCGCAATTGTGCTGGCTTGGGGCGATAGTGCTGAACAGTGCTTGGGCGGAAATCTGAAGGCTGTTTTCGGAATTTCAAGTTGGAATATTTGGAGGAGTATAAAAGTTGCACTTGGACGAACTTTAACACATCTTTGGCTAAATTCCAAGCTTGGGGAGCAAGGATCCATCAACCAAACACCATGTGATTGAAGAATGGAAGCTTTTGATTGAGAATATCTTACTCTTTTTAATTCCTTTCTTTAATTATGCAAAGTCTCTTCCTCAATTTCTTAATGAAGGAAAGATTAGGTGTCATTGTGACAAATGTAAGACTGAGAAGTTGTTGATTTCAATGAGGTAACACTTCATCCTTAAGGTTCAAACTTAGGTGAGGTTCAAATTACTTAGCAAGAATACTACATATACTAAACTCCATTTTAGATTAAAATGGAAAATAATTGATCAAACTATTGTAAGAAAGGCAATAGAACTGGTTTCAGATGATATCAGAATTTCGATAGAGCCTGGTTTGATTCTCAACATTTTGCTAAAATCAAAATGACTTACTTTCCAAAATCTGAGCTAGCAAAGCTGCAAACGTTGGTAGAAGAATATAGCAAAATAATTGGTATAATTTCCTTCACACAATGTGAAATTCAATTAATTCAAAAGTTATTCAAAGTCCAAGCAAATTTAACAACATCTACTGCTGTCACTCAAAGGATTCAACAAATTCAATTAATGTGTTGTATATGTTTTGCATCGTTTACTGATTCTAGGTTCATTAGATACTAACTATTATGTTTCAAGATTAATATTGATCAACATGACACATTGAAAAGGCTTCTGCTCTTCCAGTAGTTGTCCTGGTCTTCTATAGTCTTAGAGGTTCAAGGAACGGAAACTAGTAAACTGTAGCATTACTGTTTTCTATATCGATCAAAGCTAACCAGACATGCATATGAAAAATCTAGGAAAATGATTCAAAGTGCTTTGAAGCACATGCAGAATCAAAGCACATGATCTAATTTTGGGGCTGAAGCCATGTCATATATACAGCCCATACTTGACACAGATATGGTTCAAATGAGTTTTACCAAATGCCAAAAGTAAGATAAAGAAGTGGATTACACATTACTCGTTTAATATCTGTTTGACTAGGAGACCACGGCAATCACTTCCATGTCAGCCATTCTAATAGCATATATTCAGGTAGGTAGAGGTCCATAGAAAGAGTGGTTTTCGCTAGAATGAAAGAACAATCTGATGAAAACAACAACGACCCCCGGCAAGCAAGTAAGAGTCACCAAATGAAGATAAGTGTATCATACCAGTGCTTGTCTTCTGACAATCCATCAAATTCTTCAACTACAGTTTTTATCACAGCATCTAGAAGCTTCTTATACCGAATATCAACATCTGTTGCATTCACCCCTTGCATTCCAGCTTCTCATATGTACTGTACTACCATTTCTGCCTCAACAGAACCACTTGGAATATTCAACGCAATGCTTTCATCGTACTTGTTAGAAACAACTGCCGATGAATTAGTTAGCACCACAGCATCTGATGAAGGAGGAGTTTCTGGAATCAACAAGAAATCCTGCAAGGAATAGGTTCCAATAGTAACATCTGGAATACTCAGGGAAATGACAAAGTGATCAACTTTCCAAAACATGAAAATTTTATTGATCAATAGATCTCACAATTGAAACATGGATCTTAATAATGGTGATGCAAATAGCTACAAAGCCGTATAAATCACAGCAAAATTGAGAGAAATTATGAACAGATTTTGACAAAACGAGTGGATTCTAATTTTTAAGCGAATTGCATGCTTCTACTTCAACCAATACACACAGAAGCACACACTATACTAGTGAAAACGGATCTCACAACCCAAACATGTATTTACGTAATTCTGGTTCCAATGTGGTTAAAGATGAAATTGAAAAAGTTACTGAGGAAATCAGAGACAAAGAGTGGATGTACAGTTAGTAATGAAAAAGCATGCATTCACTTTAATAAACGCACATTCTTTCTCTTCCGCTGAAAACAAATCTCACAACCAAAACATGTATCAACTGTAATTCTAATATAGTAACGATAAAAGCACTTCAAGTCACAAAAATCAGAGAGATTACAGACGAATTGGAGATAACTAGTGGATGTGTAGTAGAAAATTGATGAATTGAAATGCATTTTCGGAGTTACCTCAGCAACGGATTCAGTGAAATGAGAGAACTACCAATCGATTTATCCGGCGATGATTCAGGAACTACATATTCGAAAACAGAAGATTCCTTCGGCGATAATTCAGGAACTGCAAATTTGAACGCAGAACTCAAGCTCCTCCACATAAGGAAACAACAAATATATATGAAGGTTATGCTAAGCACGAGAGAAATTAGTTTAAGGGTTTGAAGCAAAATAAATAATGTAAATTGAGAGGATTTTTAGCTTGATTGGAGATGGCTTTTGATCGGCGATTTTTGTGCTCCATCAATGGCGTTTGAAGATGAATCTCTCTCGTTGCTGTGTCTGTGTGCGTCTTTTTTTTTTTGTGCTGTGTTATTATTGGCGCCAATGCTTTGAACTTTTGGATTTTCAAATGGAGGAAAAACGTTTCAGTAATATATAAAGGATATAATTGGGTGAAAAAAAGAATATAAAGGATATAACTAAATTGGATAATTCACTTTGGTCACAAATATTTTCCTATACTGAAAACTAGGAAAGGGAATAGAAAATAATTTAAGTAGTATAATAAAAGGAAATGAAATTATGAACGTCGAATCTTGTGGAAGAATAGTTGGTTTACAAACAATGGGAGCGAAAAAATTGTGACAAATAACGAGTAAAATAATGGGGAGGCTAATTGTTAGCCCCTTACAAGATCCCTCGGCACATGTGGGTTGTAGCAAGGATTCTCATGATGGCCTTGACACACAACCTAAAATATTGGGGTAATATCATGACGGACAACTCAGCATGACAGACTATGCGGGATTGACAAACGCACCTTGACGGAGGCAAAGGCATTTCACATGGACGTGTGGGTTGGCATGACAATGGTAAATCAAATCTATGTCAAGGCAGGAGCCAAGACATGGCAAGGCAAAGGCAAGACATGAGCAAGGTAAGGCAAGATAAGGCCATGGCATGGCATGGCAAAGGCAAAGGCAAGGTAATGGCATGTGCACAAAGGCATACAAGTTGCTGGCACGGCTTGTGGGTAGCTTGGCACAACTGATGGATGTCAAGACAGGCTCCAAGACTTGGCACAGGCGCAATTGTGCAATGCACATGGGGTAGCTGGGCGGTTATTTTGCTGAAAAACTGACTTGTAGCCATGATTGGCACGTTTTGTAGCATGCCTTTTTGATTGGTTTAGATTTTTTCAATAGCTAGGTCTAGTTAACTACTTTGTTTAGATGCTGCCAAGTATAATTGGTCAGGCTGCACTATTAAAACGTGCATATGGAACTCCGAAGGCAAAACGTGAAAGGCCTTCCTAGTGTCATCGTGCTGCGGATGCTTTGGGTGATTTTCGGTTGGGACAGGAAAGTTCTTATTTTTCTGCCACTTCAAAGTCCAAAAAAGAGAACAAGGACAAGGCAAAAGAGTGGAGAAAAAACAGAAATGACAAGGAAAAATTTGTTGAGGGCAATGGCAGTGGAAAGGAAAAGCAAGGTGTTGGACCTTTGACAAACAAGAGACAAACCAACAAGTTTGATGGTTGTTTTATTT